AAATGTTGAATTAATAAATAAATCGATTTTATAAAAATTCTTTTTCGAATTGGCTTACTTCTAATTACTACTTCTAATATTCGACAAACGTCCAGTTGTAGCTTGTTGACGTGTCGTCACGTCTTGAGTTACATCTTAGGAAGTAGTTTTAAATATTTTACTAGCGTCAGTTAGAATTTTACCGTTTAAAGCTAAAGGCGGCTGATTCTCCAAAAAGCAACGGCCTAGGTGCGAAAATATTTTTTCGACCTTAACAATGTATGGTACAAATTAAATAAGTTCAACAATAAAATGCAGGGATATGTTACACATGTGTTCTACTTTTACATGTATGTATCGTTTACTTACCGTCAAAAATTGGTCGGATACCACAAAGGGGCGCCACTTCGATTGTTATTTTCAAATTCTTGAAATACCTAGCGATTCAACGCAGGAGGTACATCCGGTGAAATCACCACAACGTAGTGGATTATGTTATTAACCGGAAGAGAGGTTATTTCAAAAAAATTTGTCCTAACTCAAATGAGATCTCCAATCGTACCAAGACCGTGTCTCTTGGCGAGTTTGTATTTAGGTAAACAAATTTTATATATATATGTTTTTCGCTATATTTTTAAATTAATGCTTCATTAATTTTTCAAGGGCTAACATTAATATAAAAAAGTTTCTCGCTCTGCAGTAATTATTTTGGTAACTCATTTTTGGATGGCTTCGCTATTTGTATTTAACGCTAACGTTAATTTTAATACATGTATCATGAAAATAGAAATCTTTGCTTACATCATTAATGTTATGTACTGCTCATTTCCATGGAAATTTTTTGTTTAACAGATCTTTCCTTGTTACATGTAGCAGTCTTCTCGTGGATAGCTGAGTTTTGAGGATTTGCATTTCTATTTTTCTCATCATGATGAAATGTTATTTCTTTCTCTGATGCTAATATATTTAAATCAGAATTACATATATATAAAACAAGAATTAAACAATAATGGTAATAATCTAAGTGATCAGAAAGTTTATTTTTGGAAAATATCATTCGTATATTAAAAAATCAGATTCATTCTTGAATAAGAGTGTTATAGAGAGATTGTTAACTTTCTGATAATAAAGAAATCTTTATTTTGAGAATAGTATTATTTATTGTGATGCTGACATTAATATAATAAATATTTCCCGTACGGCAGGAATAATAAAAATATCTTGTGATCGTGTAAGCGTTATCAACGTGCTATTGGGAAGATATCCCAGCACGATGGAATAAATGAATTATTGTTCCATATGATTGAAGATAATTTATGAAATATAAATAATTCAGAATGGGATAGTCAGGCTGATGCTTTTTTCGATTCTAATGCCATCTTTGATATCACTCTTGATAATGAACTTAAAAAGCAAATTCAAGCAAAAATGATAATAATAAGCTTTCACCTTTTTTTAGGTTCATCACTATGGAAACATTTCCCAAGCTGAATGTAGCTACCTCACAGGCAAAGTCACGGCATTACATCCGCGTTTGACGTAGACATAAGATGTGTCTTAATACGTATATAGTGACATGATTGGATGACAATTCTGGGAGCCAATATTTTACTATAAAATTATAAATATCTGGATGGTTTTATGTCATAATGACACGAAATACACCCCATAATCCGAGGCATTATTTTGCGCATATACGGTAGTGAAACTTGGTCGTTGCATTCATTGAGCTTTTGAAAGAGTGGAATGAGGGATCTAGTCCAATGTGTAACAATTAGCTTTCGTCTGTTTACTATAGTCGAATATTCATGATTGCACGTATTTGCGGAATATACGCAACACTCATATATTGAATTTTTATCCTCCCCGATAAAAAACACATGATTATACCCTATCTTATTGTTAATCTTTAACGTTAACGTTAATAAATTTTTAAATTTCTTATCAACAAGAATTTAACTTTCGAGAGTTTAAAATTTTGGTTTCGAAATATTAGGATTCCGGCTGTTAGATATTGTGATGTTAGGGTTTCGGGGTAGTGGAATGTTGAATTTAGAATTTCAGGTTTTCGTCTTATCAGCTGTCTTATCGAATATGATAACACAAGATCTTTGTTTGATTTACACAGTCAAAGTCGATATAATCGACGGGTCAAATAATCCACGATCTATTTAATGAATTGTTATATTGACGGAGATTTATTATGGACTATTTGGATTTCACTAGGGTTCTAAAGGTCTCCTGTGCCAATCTTTCAAAGAAATTGGGGCAAGGTAAGGTTCAAAATAATAATTTAATTCAAAGGTCACACTCAAGTCGAAAGTTAGGTTAACTAACGAAATTGAATGTGGGCAAGGGAGCGGGAGCGATGACTGAATGATTACTCGAAGTAGGTTTCGTTAGGATTCTAAAAGTCTTCTGTGCCAATCTTTCACGGAGATTGTGCGGTTTTGGGACAAAGGTAAGGTTTAAAATAATATTTTAATTGTAAATATTAAACTTTATTATTACCACTAAAGAATAGCTAACACAAATATTAAATTTTATAATTAAATTAGAACAATAATTGATACTCAAATAAAATTGCAATTCAAAAGCACAAAATAATAAATTTAATGATATCAGTATCTAAATAATAAAATCAATATCCAAGCAATGCATCGACTTTGTATGGCCAAAGTAGTAAAACCTTCAATTTGTTAAGCACAAATTGAATTAAAGCTATCAATTTTGTTTTGGCGCAAAAGAAAAAAAGCTGAAGCGCAATTAGGTAAGTTTCAAAATTAAATTAGATTTAATATTTATTTTTATTCAAACCAATTTCACCTCCTTTATACAACCTTTCGATAACCATCCTATATGTACAGTTTTCGTTATTATAACTGTCTTTTTTACAGCTATCTAGAGTACAGTCTGTTATTCATAGGTTGTTACGTGCTATTAAGGTTTGTGTTCCAAAAAAAAGAAACCATGTATTTATATATTACATAACTAAAAATATAGAATGCTTATGTAAAAGAAGTACCGAAATTAAAAAGTATTATAAAAGTATTACTCATTATCACATAATATCGGAAAGAATAAAGATCGTGGATGGTATTCTATAACGAATATCTTGAACCTGCAAGGTAAGAGTTTTTAATGACTTACGCCTTTCTTTTGGGTAAATGGCATTAATTTTGATACTACAAGGTAGGAATTTTGTAATTTCTGGGATCACATTAATGTTGATAATACAAAGTAGAAATTTTTGAGATCACTACAAGGTAAGAGATTTTGTAGGAATTTCTATATTTATGTGTTTCGGTCAGACTAATTAACTATTTTTAAGGTTTCGTCACACATTACTCATAGAAGCACAAGAAGGGTAATAATAGTCCCAAATATTCTGTGATCACAAGATTTTTCATTGCAACGACAACTACAATTAAGAATAATAACAAATTTTATTGCTTTTTTAAAACAATAATAGGCATCCACAAAAGAAATAAAAGCCAAAGCGTAGTTAGATAAGAATTAAATAACATTTTTATTTAGTTATTTTTCTTCAAACCAAACGCCTATCTTGCATTCCTTCGAAAGTTATTCTATATATAGATACACAACTTTCTTCTGTTATTACACAGCTATCAATTCGTTGTTTACAGGTTTTGCTGGTCAGTAGAGCACAAGATAAGAATTTTGGTAAAAGTTCTTACAAAAAGAAAAAGAAGATGTGTATAAAATAATGATATTAATGTAAAATATTTATGTAAAAAAAATAAAATAAATAAAAATTATTATTGCGCTTCCAAAAAATAATTATAATTCTGGAGGATCACGTTGCAAGGTAGGAAATTATGAATTTCTGGGATCTATGCGTACGCGTTCTAATTACATACTTGTAATCATTTTTAAGGTTTCGTTACACATTACATGTAGCTGCGTATGGGATTTAATTTCTTTATTTCGATATACATGTACATGTACATGTACTATCAAACAGGCTTTTTGTATTGAACATGCATGCAGTTAGTATTATTTTAATCTTTGTTTAGTAACAAAAATTCCGGTAATTCAGTCATAAAAGACTTTTACAAAGAGCTTCGCATGCATGCAGTTAATGTAACAATGCATTATATATAATCTTTGTTTGAGTAATGGTAGAACTTGTCATGATTCAAGTGTTCCGATCACCGTCCAAATGACAATAAATGTACATGCTGTCACCGTGTGATACAACATTCACCTTTTTCGATACAGGTTTGTTTTTCGAATATTTTCCTATTTACAGTTGAACCTTGACACATTATAATCCATTATTATGGAACATTCATTTGTAATTGGATTTTTAGTTATTCCACAATAACCATCACATACATGTATTATTTTCATCTGTGTTCGTTAATATAACAATAAATGCATATGTGTTATTTTAATCTGTGTTTGGTAACGGAAGTTCCGATAATTCAGTCGCAAAATATTTTTACATATTCTAGGAGCAGATTCAAACAAAGTCATGGACGTTGTTGTTAATATTAATAAAATTGCTTTTGTATTGAACATGCATACAGTGAAATTATGTGCATAAATCAAATTTTTGTGTGTTTTGTAACGATATAATTAGGCGACACTTTTTGAATTCCATATAGAATTGTCTCTCCTTTTTACTAAAAATGGTATAGACTTAAAAAATTCTTTATATACACATGTACATTAACATGAATTATGTGTTTGTGATGCCATATTTTTATTGTCCTAACCGGACGAAAAGTTTATCCGATATCGACATATAAATAAACTACGTGTTTAATGAATAATTTTGTTTTCGTTATTAGCATCCTTTGTAAAAGAATTACCTCAATAAATGTCGAGAAATCTTCACAAACTTTTACTTATATTCATTCATGGGTTTAAAGGAGACGAGAAAACTTTTAAAGCATGTGTATTTTCATATTGATTCTATGTTTCATTAAAATTGGTAAATTTACGCATGTATGTCTTCATTTACACAGAACTTTCCAGAAAGGCTCGTCACGACAATGAACAACCAACCAAACCTTAAAGGTACATGTGTTACCAAACCAATAGTTTATAATAAGTACAAAACATGTGGTCATTTTGGGCAAGCCGTGAATGACTTTTGTGAATGGCTTGATAAAAAGGTGAAAGATGAAGAAGAGCCAAAAGTAATTGATGGCAAGAATGTGTCTGTTTGGATTTGTTTGTTTGGTCATTCGATGGGTGGATTGGTTGGTAGGTGAATATTGAGTTTGATTTACATAGAAGAGTAATTGATTTTTTATTAATTTTTTTCTTAGCTGCGGATGCTATTTTAAAGTATAGAGAATTAGGCGCGAAAATATCACCAAAGATCGTAGGACTTCTCGCTTATGATACTCCTTACTATGGACTAAATTATGGATTAGAATGTGAGATAGTGAACGACACATGCTCGTAAATATTCAAGTTATCCATTAATTGAATCAATAAAAAAACAATTAGATAAAGTTAACACTATAATTCATTCAATCAATAAATAAAGCTGCATCAGTAAAATTTCATTAAAGGTGAAGGATACGCATACCACTTCAAAATCTAAAGTTGTTTTGGGCTTCTGTGCTGGTGCTATGATTTGCAAACATATGGGTGTGATAAAGGATTCGATTAAAGATCATTTCGAGTTTATTAGTGCATTACTGAAAAAGGATGAATCGAAAAAGAGGTAAGAATATGTGTAATAGTATAATAGAAAAATATATATATTTTTGAGTTTATATCTTTCATAACTTCTTTTTTTCTGTTGATAAAGACTTGATACGTTGATACAAGATTCTAAGCTTATATTCCATTGTTTCTATAATTTGGTAATTCTCGAAATAAATTTATGATATTCATGTAAACTTTCCAAGGATTCACTCTATGTTTTTGTTACTTAAATAGATCCCCGCTGATGATAGAGCGAAAACCTTTATCTCTCTCCCACTAAAACACATGCGCCAATACTTCTCACCACACGAGCGTGATGTAAGCGATGTAAGCGATGTAAGCCATGAGGTTATAGCACACATTGCTTCCATGTTTGATCTAGAAATCGATCATAGTTTGGATAAGCTTATAGCACACATAACCATGTTTAATCCAGAAACCAATCATGAATATAATAGTTTGGCTGATCATACTACACATCAATTGCTAAAAATGTTGGAAAATTCTGTTTTCAGAAAATAATATCGTTATTATGTAATCGATCATTTTCTTACAAACTCTTAGAATTAATTTATAGTTCTGTCTTTAATTACTAATTCCAATTAAAATATTGTTACTTTTCATACATATATTATGATAACGCATATATGAGAAACATTGAAATATATATAATTTGATTTCTTTGCTCCACAAAACCATTTACCACCAAATTTTTAACTTCATACAAAAAACCAAATAAGATTCATACTCTTTTTGATGGTGACAACGTGTACTTTATGAACAAACGGACTTAAAAACGATTTTATTAATTAAAATTCAACTCTCAGTTTCCAAAAGAAATAATGGCACTGACAGATATTACTTAACATCTTAGGGGGTGGAGGTTGCATGATATCTTACGTTACACTTGGATATTATGAATTATAATATGCAGACCATTTAATTAGTCTTATTTGGGGGATGGAGATAAGAACTATTAAACTGATACAACACTTACTGGCTTTCTGTTCTTTATCTTCTTTTAACAAGTCTTGCTTATTAATTCTTAGTCAGAAATTTGTGGATTCACATCAGAAAGTGATTTGAAGACTCAATAGAAAAGCATTCATATCAGTTAACAGAGACTGAGGTTTATCAGATAGCATTCCAAATATTCTTGTTTAGCAACAAAATAATAAGCTAAAGATATCATGAATACGAGTTCACTGTCACTTTTACAGATGGAGTGCCTTCATAAACTATGACTCAGTTGGCCAAGTATATAACCATCACACAAAAGCTATTTCTTGTAATGAAGAATAAATCCAGAGAATATATTTTTATGAGCTTAGCAAAAAAATTAAAAAGAAAATCAATGCTTTTTCTTTTTTCAATTATCTCCTAATGATTACTTACTTTAGCAGTAATAATACATTGCTCAAAGTCCATATAAATAGATGACACATCAATTAATTAAATATCAAACCAGCTATCTTAATATCAAGACAAGAGCAACTTGTTGAAGTTTGTCTCTAGACAAGTAAGTGACCTCCTGATTGATAATTGACTCAATTTGTATCAGTTTGACAATATCCGTTGAAATTGAAAATGCATGAATGAAGATTTTATTTTTTTGAAGAACAGTATGTGAATATGTTGGGAATATGGGGAAATTTTTGAGAATTACAGTTATTATTAGTTCAATGGCCAACAAATGAATAAATATAGATTTATCTGTGAAATTTTTACCAAGTATAATTCTCTTGTCTATATATGAAGCTTGTAATCAAAAAAATTAGAAAAAATTAAAACATAATGATTTTCTTTGCAAATTGGAATTCATGGCTAGATATTTGTATCTCCAGGATTTCTCTATTTCTTTTTCATCTTCAGTAACTTCTGTAAACTTGAATGTCAAAGATTCTTCATGGAAACATAAATTCTCTATAGACACTTTGCTATCCAAAAAGATGTTAATTTCTTCCTAAATAGAGAAAGGTATAGTAATAACGTCATAAAACTGAGAATATTCCATACAATACATATATGAAATTTGATAAATGATCCAAAATTGATAAATTATATTTAATCATTTGCGACATATCTAAAAATCAAGCAAAATTATACAAGAATTATCTTTATTAATTATATAAAGATTTCTTACTTAGTAGATGCCAATAAATTTCTTATTATTTTAGTAGTATACATCTTTGCTTGATGTCTAAGTAGGATGAAGACTTATCAAACATATAGCTATAAAGAAGTTTAAAATTAACAAAAAATATCCAAATATAATTAAAATTAATAATATACTCTAATATATCTTCATATTAGCATTTTGAATCTCTTCTTTGTAATTTTATTTCAGTTTAATATCAATCAGTATTGTAATTGATTTTATAACTTTTAGAATATGATTATTATGATAATAAGAGTTTAAATTATTTATTAATTTTGTTAATAATTCTTTTTATAAATTTAGTTTATTAAGTTTATCTACCAAAATAATTTCAAATCAAAAATAAAGCAAAATAAAATGTTATAGCAGAAAAAAATAGAAATAAAATATTAAAACAAATATATTTTTATTATAATAATCATTTTTTTGAAAGCATTTTATTACTTGCTTTTATTATATATAGTATATAAATGAAAAAGTAAATTTTACTTTAAAACTTCATATAAAAATTAAATAATTCAACTTTGTATTTAATTAATTAAATAATAAAAATGATTTTATAAAATATTATATATATTATTATTTTATAATTAATTTAAATAAATTTAAATTAACTTCTTACAAAATATTATATAACTAAATATATATTTTGAAAAATTTTAATATAAATAATCAAGAATTTATTTTTATTTATCTTTTTAAAAAATATTACAGAATTAATTTATTTTATTAAAAAAGAATATTAATAAAAACTTTCAAGAATAAATTTATTAAATAAATTAATTAAAAAAACTAAAATTTCTAATGATATCTTAACTTTCTTAATAAATTAAGAAAGAAAAACTAATAATAATTAATAATTTTTTCAGATATTGAAATAGTAAGAATTGATATATAATTATTAGTATTAATATTGTTATGGCGAATCGGTAAGTGAGTTTTCACTTTGATTCACCCTAACGATATAGGGTTGGGAGAGACTGAGATAATAAAAGGTAA